TTTTTAACAAAAAAACGAAGTCCAGATGACATGATTCAACCTTTTTTGTTGTTATATTAATATTGTTGAACGTATATCTTAGATCCTTGTATACTGTTTCTTTTTTTACATACTTGATGTTTTTTCTATTTTTGGGCGTAACTGGGAGCTTGAGTACACAATTTTGTTCCACCTCATGTAACACATGTGATGCGGATGACATAACGTCTCCTTCAACTTTGAACTTGCTAATTCTAATACATTTTAAGGATTATATTTTTCTTAAAGTTTTACTTAGTTTCTATTTTTCCCTGGCAGTTTGTGATTTTACACATTTTAAAAACCTATCCAATTTATTCATTTTAAAAGAAAATTTTAGGATTGTTTGTGACAGTGGGCAGCACTGTGGCGCAACTGGTAGAGCTGCTGCCTCTCAGCGAACAGGTCCTTGGTTCAAACCCCGGCCCAGGGGCCTTTCTGGGTGGAGTTTGCATGTTCTCTCTGTGCATGCGTGGGTTTTCTCCGGGTACTCTGGTTTCCTCCCACATACCAAAAACATATGCTAGGCTGAGTGGTAACTCTAAATTGTCCCTAGGTGTGAGTGAGAGAGTGAATGGTTGTTTGTCTCGTTTGGCTTTAGATTGGCTTTAAATTAATAAAAACTATAAACTATGCAGAGCTATGTAATTTTTTTAATTGTGGAAAAAATAATTAAGTATAGGAATAAAGCATAAAGTGAGTAATTTTTTTACTCTCTGTTCATGTTCCAGTATTCACATAGTTGCAAAAAAATTACATGAAAACAGCTCAAACTAATTTTTTGTTGTTGTTTGTAAAACAACAAATAAAAGTCAGTATTATGTTAATTTCGGTCAAAGCTTGAAAGAGCTGCTTGTGGCTTCAGAGCCATAGGTTGCAGAGCCCTGGTCTAGACAAAACTGGCCCCACTGTCCATCTTTAGAAACCTTGAGTTGATTCACAGCCATGACGATTGTCTACAAAGGCACAAATCTTCCAGTGAACGCTCCATCAGTCCAACACAATAAGCTTTATATTATTCTTTTGCAGGCTCTGTCTTCTCTAATTGGTAAAGCTCATCCTAAGTTAACTAAATATGAAGAAGAAGAAAAAAAAGAATGTGGGATTCCTAGTATAATTCTTCACTACGTCACACAGGGTATTGGGAGTGTTGTCAACTCATGACCCGAGGAGGATAGGATGCACATGCGCAATCATCTTTTCCCTCTTCCAAGCTCAATCTTCAAATCTCCAGCAGCTGCAGGCGGATCATCAGTTTATCGGAGAGGAAGAGGCTCATCTTTGTGCGAACAGCTTGCACTTTAAACATTGTTCTGTTAAAGAAATATTATGAATCAAAGGTTCTTCAGATCTTTTTTTGCACCAGAAGCCCGTCTCTCTGTTTAACCAGAGGGATTAGGATGAAAAGTGAAAGCTGGATTGTGTCCGTCCGTAATGTTAACATGCGCTAATCTGAACCACAGAGAGGGAATGTGTGGGACACGCAGTTGGTAGAAAAGAAAACGTGTAGCTGAAAGGATGCATGCAGGTGAGTGAGATTTCCCATTATCTTCATTTTGTCTTGTTTGAGAGGAACTTTAATCTGACAGTATCTGCTTCCTGAATTAATTTATTTGTTGTCCAACTTTTCCTATCATAACTAAGTTATGTAACTCTTAAGTAAGTACATGACAGCTTCTATCATGTGTTTTTCTGTTTATTTGCTGTAAAGTTGCATGTAAAAGAAAATAAATCTGCAAGAGAAGACATTTTCTCCTCAGCTGGATTTATGTTTTCAAATTTTTTTTTTGTATCAGCTTGTAAGGAGTCTTGACTGAAGGAGGATTTAGACTGCTGTTGCTGCTTCAGTCCCTCCTCTTTATCCTGAATATTGTGGAAGTGGCTCTGTGGAGATTTAACGCCAAATGCAAATGAAACTTCATGTGTTGTAATTTAAAAGCAGTAAGATGAACACAGTATAAAATGTGTAATTTTTCTATTTTATTACCCTGACTTTGAAAGAGATCCTTTAGAGTAATTGCTTTTCCTTTTAATGTGATTTATGTATTAGTTTGAACAACTGTAGCACATGGTGGCAAAAAAAAATGAAGCTTTAATTTGCCCATTAGGCTTAAAGAAAGCAAAATCCCAAAAAAATATTCAAATACAAATAAAAATGGCAACATTTTATGACTGATGCATAGAATAAAATTTAAATGTTTTGAAGTTTTAAGATGACCAGCTGTTAAAATCACCTGCAGCCTAAACGTTTTACTAATGTGAGAAGCCTTTTTTGTATCAGGGACTTTTTAAATCCTAGCTTGTTTACCATACAATTCATTTTCCACTTGTTTTAATTTTTTCTTTTATTGCTATTGTACTTACACAGCATCGGAGAAGAACTGAAAACCCACCAATTTCTAATTTCAATTTTAATTTCTACCCTTTTGAGCGTGAAAAATCAGAAAGACACACACAGATGGTTCCAACTCCAAAAGTTTACTCTCGTCTCCTATGAACTCCTCACCTCTGACCTCTTATGTACATTTACAGATACTCCTGAACTCACTGAGACATTGAACTTGAGCAAACAAATCCAGCTAAGCTCTTTCTCTCTTTCTCTTATTCCTTGATTGTAAACCCCCCCCCCCCCCCCCCCACACACACACACACACACACACTCCTCCCTGCCCTGCTGTGGTGTCATTTACGGATGACTTCTCATACAGTCTGGATCCTCCTCCTATTCACTGAGGAGGGATTTTCTCTTGCACAGAAGATTAAAGGTAATTGCTATCTTCATTCTAAGTTTTCCATTGTCTCTTTTGTTACAATGCATCACATGAACATCAAAGCATTTCTGTTTAATTAAATGTTTTACACAATTAGGAATGTTGTTTTTCAAGCTATCACAGATTTTGTGTCTTTAAGAATTACAAGAGTCGTATTGGTCTATTTTGTCATGTGTAGATGGTGGGGCAGGAACTAAAGAAGATAAAGCTCCTGAGCATCCAAAGAGGGCTCGACACTGTGGGACCTGGGTTCGAAAATCAGACGGTGGAATCTTCAGTTCTCCAAACTACCCAAACATGTACCCGCCAAACAAGGACTGCCTTTATGTTCTCGAAGGTAACCAGTAAAAGGCAACTGAGTCTGATACTTTTACTTTGTGGAAAAATGTTCAGTGCGTATTTTTGCTTTCTTTTCTACCAGATCACACAGATATTGACACTCAACTGGGGAAGATGCTTTTTCTTTGCTCTTGTGTTTAAGTAAATATTTGGATTTGTCTCCTTTGATTGGTGGGCAGGAACTCAAACTGCTGTTTTTTTAGTGACTTCTTTTGTCTTCCTTTTTTAGATTGATCACAAGTTCAAAACATCATGATGCATTCAGGTTTTAAATATTGCTTATGTATTAGATTGAAAAGTTGAAGCATGGTGCACACCATGTTGCCATGGTGTAATTGTCTTGTGTTTTGTTGCTGTGACATTTTTGACGTTACTTGTGGCATTGCTGCAGCTTACCTGCAGTGTTCACCAGCATCTTCCTGTCACACTTTGTTAACGAGCCTGTGGCAATGGCCCAGTTACAGTCTTCTGTCCGCATCTAGTCATGGGCTGTCCCACAATTTTCTGGGTTGTCTTTTTATTAGTGTTCTCTGTTGTTCTACTCTGGCAGATCCTCCATTTGACAATTTGTCTTCTTTGCACCTTGTCTTAAAGGAAAGTGCAAATCAAATCCACAACAGTAACTAGTTCATCAATTTCTTCCAGGTCTGTATTTGGGGAATGAAGGATAGGTAGATAATTTGACAAGTCGTAGTACACAACCGGTACAAAAAAAACACAATGAAGGTGTTCTTCAAAAGCCACTTTTACTCCAGCAGTATAATATGGACACATAAGCATCCACATGACACCATCATTGATCTAGTCTTTACAAGATACCATACCATACCATACCAGACCATACCATACCAGCTTTATACACCCACATGACCAAAATGCTGTACACACAAAAAAACAATCATGCTGTCAGATAATTAAAAAAATGATTAAAATGATTAAAAGTCCCTTAATAAAAGCTGTCCACATACAGTACACATCATAAAACAATTATACAATCAGGTAATAAAAAAACGATTAAAGTAATTAAAAGTCAACATCTCAGATGGTGTCAAAGGCCAGGGAGAAGAAATGGGTTTTAAGAAGGGATTTAAAAACAGACAGGGAAGAGTCTGATGTTCAAGGGAAGGTCGTTCCACAGTTTAGGAGCTGCCACAGCAAATGCACGGTCTCCTCTGAGCTTATGCTTTGTCTTCGGCACACTCAGGAGCAGCTGATAACATGACCTGAGCAATCGAGAAGATGTGTATGGATGCAACAACTCGGACAGATAGGGCGGGACAAGTCCATTCGGAGCATTAAAAGCAAATTAAATAATTTTACAATGAATCCTGGAATGTACGGGCAGCCAGTGCAGGGAGGATAAAACAGGGGAAATGTGGTCAAACTTTCGTGTGCCAGTTAAAAGCCGTGCAGCAGCGTTCTGTACCCTCTGAAGCTGAGAGATACATGAATCACTGATTCCTGTATAGAGTGCGTTACAGTAGTCCAGCGGCGTGGTCACAAAAGTGTGAACTAGTTTCAAAATGCTGCTTAGAAAGAATCAGCTTCACTTTAACCAGCTGCCTCAGATGTAAAAAATAGTTTTAACAACTCTGATGTGGTTTTCTAATTTTAGTCCAACATCGACTTTGACCCCCAAGTTTGTAACAGTTGGCCTGATGTACTGGGCCAAGGAACCAACATCTGCATTGGGGGTCTCAGTGGAGCTTCCAAAGACCATCACTTCAGTCTTTCCCTTATTGAACTTTAAGAAGTTCACAGCCATCCAGGCTTTGATGTCCTCAAGACATGAAAACAGAGGGGCCAGAGAGTTAGAGTCCTTTTTCTTTTGCAGGACATACTGTATATCTGCATATCATCCGTGTAACAATGAAAAGAGATCCCATCTTTTCTATAAAATAGAGCCAAGACGTAGCAGGTACAGTGTGAAGAGGAGGTGCCTAAGACTGAGCCCTGTGGAACCCCACACAAGAGAAGAGCAGAGGAAGACACATGGTCACCAAGGCAGACACAGAAATTACGCTCTGCTAAGTAGGACTTAAACCAGTCCAGTTCTGCACTGCTGACACCCCCATTGTTTCAAATGACAAAGTAAGATGTTATGGTCCACAGTGTCAAAAGCAGCTGATGAGTCTAAAAGCAGGAGGACAACAGTCACCAGAGTCCATTGCTAAAAATACGTCATTGAAAACCTTTAAAAGAGCAGATTCTGTATTGTGTAGAGCTTTAAAATCAGACTGTAAAACCTTGAGAATGTTCTGTTCTTTCAAATATGCTTATAGCTTATAGTACATCACTTTCTCAAGAATTTTTGAAAGAAATGGCAGTTTAGAGATTGGCCTGTAGTTAGCAAGAACAGAAGGGTCCAAAGTGTGTTTCTTAATGAGAAGCTGGACAGCTCCATGTTTAAAATTTCCAGGGACCACACCAGAGGACATACTGCTGTTCAGAAGAGCAAGGACTGAAGGACACACAGTGAGGAAAACCTCTTTGAATAAATGAGGAGGAATAGCATCACTTGATGAACCTGCTGGCTTTAAATGACTGACCATCTGTTGCTGAGACGACAGTCACTGGTTCAAAGCTGTCAGAAACAGTCGAGCAGGGCACAGAGACATATGAGCATCATATAAACATATGATCATGAGCATAAGGTGAAATCTGGGCCCTGGTGGAATTGACTTTTTCAACAAAGACATTTAGAAAGTTTTCACATGCAGCAGGTGAGGATTCAATACAGTTTGTTTGTGGTGCTTTAAGAATAGAACCAATTATTTTAAATAGAACACAAGGATTGTGACTGTTTGATACAATCACATTTGGCAGGTATTTTCTTTTGGCATTTTTCACAGTGGCAGCACGGTGGCGCAACTGGTAGAGCTGCTGTCTCTCAGGGAGCAGGTCCCTTGTTCAAATCCCGGTCCGGGTGCCTTTCTGGGTGGAGTTTGCATGTTCTCTCCGTGCATGCATGGGTTTTCTCTGGGTACTCCAGTTTCCTTCCACAAACCAAAAACATATATGTTAGGTTGATTGGTAACTCTAAATTGTACCTAGGAGTGAGTGAGAGAGTGAATGGTTGTTTGTCTCTATGTGTCCTTGTGCTGGACTTGCGACCTGTCCAGGGTGTACCCCGTCCCTCGTACAGTGATTGCTGGACATGGGCACCGGCGACCCCCGTGACCCAAAATGGAAGAAGCGAGTAAAAGATAATGGATGGATGGATGGATGGATTTTTAATGGAGACACAGAATCCAGAACTGTTGTGCAGGTGGAGTGAAACCATGAGCTGAGGGCCTTGGTGTTGTTGCACACAGACTCTGGGATGGCACAGTTCTGATTAAAAGCAGATGAAAAGTGACCAGCAGTGGAAGAGTTCAAAACACGACACAGCCGAGCTGCAGCGCGGGGTTTAGCTTTAGTGCAGGACAAGTTAGTTTCAAATAAGAAAGGCATGTGGTCAGAAAATACAGGATCACTACTCAATACATTAAAAACAGGTAAACCACAAGATAAAACCAGATCCAGATTGTGTCCATGTTCATGTGTAGGACCAGTCACAGACGGCACAAGATTAAAGGAGACTGAGCCATAAATCAGGGCAACATACATGGATATTAAAATCACCAACAATGAGAACTTCGTCGTATTTTGGCATAATTTCAGTCAAAAAGTCTGAGAAGTCATTTATAAAATCCTTATTGTATTGGGGGTGGGGGGCGGAATAGATGGCCACACATAGCGTAATGTGGGAGGAGCTAAGTTCAAACAGGCTGTGCTCAAAGTTGCTGAATGAAGATGGAGGCAGCTGCTTACAGTCAAAACAACTTTTAAAAACAGTCACTATTCCTCCCCCTAGACCAGACGTCCGTGGGGAATTAAAATAGCAGCAATCCTGCAGTAAAAGTTCCATCAAAACACTAGACTCACCTGGTCCACCTGTTCATGGTACATCTGCCAAAACCACAAAATAAGCTAGAAATATGTCATGCAGCCTGGTATATACCAGGTATCTAACAGGTAGGCACTAGATATCTAAGGGAACTATGATGAATTATGAAGTGACTTGTCACCTGCACTTACTGGGTATGCACTTGGAACTTATCCAGCACATACCAGGTAAGTACCAGGGCATTGCTACTCAAAGGAATGTGCCACTGATTTGCAGGTCTATGATGGATGATAAGAAAAGCAAAAACGCCAGTACACCTCATAAAAAGCCTCAAGTGTGCCATAATGCCATGACCATGCAGACAGGATGTTTATGTAGCGCAGTAAGACATTGTGCAACAGTATAGTTTGGTTATGACTATGGAACCTTTGTTGAAATGGTGTATATGTGAGTTATGCGTGATGTTTCAAAGTTCCTGCCTTCATGATATAAAATTGTACTAGTATGAACCAACAAGTCTGTGGCAACATAATGAGATCCCGCTACATAGGCTTGAGTAGGAGATACATACAGTGGAAATGTTTAGATTTCACAGTATTTTGTTACAGCTATGTACTTTGTATCTCAATACACCATTCAAATGCAAGACAAATACATAAAAATGGGATAAGGTATACACATAAATGTTGGATTATGTTTAATCTGGTTTGATTAGAAATTCAATATAGTTTTCCTCCATCAATATAAATATTCTGCCAGACATGTTATTTTACTGTTTATTTTATGTTATATTTGAAAATTAGATCTGTGGCACTGAAAGTGACACGATGCTGGTCTTTCTGCAGCCCTGCCCCGCCAGAGAATCGAGCTCCTCTTCAGCAAGTTGTTTCACATTGAAGCATCTTTTGATTGTCGTTTTGACAACATCGAGGTGCGGGATGGTCCCTTTAGTTTCTCACCGCTCATCAATCGTTTCTGTGGAACAACCAGTCCTGGTGTCATTTATTCCAATGGTCGTTTCATGTGGATCCGGTTCTTCAGTGATGAAGAGCTGGAGGGTAAAGGTTTCCAGGTCCAGTACAAATTTACAGCAGGTAATTAAAACCCACAAATGTGGCTCTTGGTACCAACCTGGTGCAAGACTTCAAAAATGATGCTAAAAAAACTTCTTGCTTGTTAAGTGCCTGTACATTCTAAATACAGTCTTATATGTATATATATATATATATGTTTCTGCAAATTCACTTCAATATGTTTCTGAGATTTCTC